CCCCCTTAAAGGGACACTGACACCCCCCAAAAAAATTTTTTTATTTTTTGCCAGGCGCTTCATTATGGTGTCGAGGGACTACCCAATTAATATTTTGCAACAGAGTAGCGTATTTCTTTAATAAAGCCAAAAGACGCAACTGCTCGAAACCGAAACCGAAACCCGACGGAGGTCGGAGAAGTGGAGAGAAGAGAGTGACTGGCGGAAGTCACGTGGCTACACCCGACCGTGCTTTTTTTTTTTTTGTTTTTCTCCTCTCCGGTAGCAGACGACACGACATGCGGCGTGCGGGAACTGCTTGCCGTGCCATTCTTTTGCAGTTATGTTTGTTCCGCTCGTTGTTATGTACTCCAAGATGAGTTGTTTTGTACATTGAGGAGTTAGAGATGAGTAGTGAGTGCCCGTGGTGAATTTCCATGATCGTCTCCGAAAAGTATAAACCCAAGATGTTGCGTGAAGAGCTGGCTCACATGTCCTGCATCCGAAAAAAAGTGGCATTGTCGAAAGATCAACGGGATCGGGACCAATGGCTGGCTGCAATTCCTGTAGAACATTTACGGGCACCTCGGAAAGCGGACGCTACCTGATTTATATGCTCCTTGCACTTTGTGGAAAGTGATTACATTGAGTTCGCAGGTGTCAAAACGGAAATCCCATACCGTTTAATTCAGCGAAGTATCGTCCACAACATTTGTTTGTTATTTTTTTTTTGTTTGTTTCTTCAGTGATGATTGTAAAAAAAAGAAAAAGATATGTAAACATCAAAAATTGTTTGCAAAAAAAAAAAAAAAAAAAAAATCACGGGGGATTGAACCCGGACCTTCGGTGTGTGAAGCGGACGTCTTTCCCACTGAGCTACTGGGGCATCTCGTTTCTGGTGGATCTCTTTCCTTAGTAATAATTCAGCCGGTAAACTGTAAGTTTGAAAGTTTGCTGTCAATTTTTCTTTAGCAAAAGCACTCCCGGGTCGAAGTCGGGAAGCACCACGCTTTGGGGACATTCGCACCTAGTAAAGAAATCGTACGCGTGCATAATGAACTCGAAGTAGACACGTCGTGCTTGACGTTTGCGCGAGCGTTGTCTTCAGCCACGAGAAGGGAGCGACGGCTCGGCGACGTCTTCGTGCAAATCGGCTTGGTGGCCGGGCGTGTCGTACGGGATGAATACCAATTCTTTTGATCAGTCCCAAATTTCTCTTTTAACGGTAGACAGAATTCGCCGGTACCGCGAACGACAGTTCTGAAATAGAGGTCCCACGCCCGTCGTCCGCTGCCATCGCCGTCCCCGCGAGTCCCACAATACGCGAAACGACGAACGCACAGAATGCTTCCGGTTGTCTGTGGAACTTTTTTTTTCAATCAACGTATTTGCAGCTTTTTAGAAGCCACAAAAAATGGGTTTCATATTTTTTTCTATTTTTAATATTGAGTGTGTGCCTTCAGTGACCCACGACTTTGATTAAATTTGGTGGTCGCATCGATACCTTAGAAAATGGCCCGTGACCGCGGAAAAGAGAGTGAGCGAGACTCGAACCGGCCAGTTCTTGATCGGCGGTTTTCGGGCGGAAAGAAACCGAATTTCGAGCCGCAAATTCTGTTCTGGGTAGTTGAGTCCTCATATGTCACGTACAACTAACAACCTCGGCGAGCATAAATACCCTGTCAGTGTCCCTTTAAGCAAAGCCCTGAAATTGTTGCACAGCTCCTTTAAGTCTCATCACGGTGACAAAGAACCTCTATACAACAAACTATTGCCTGGAATGTTCAAGCTCCGCATAGGTGCCTGTCTTCAAATTGTTTCTTCAGTATCCACCAAAAGGCTGCCATTAGTATGTACAGATTATAGATTATATACTTGGGTGATGATAGTTATCAAAGTGGCCAGACTGAATGTTGGAAAGGGTCTATCGAATGTCTCAATAAAAATAACTGATGACTTTACAGCTACTCTTAAAGGGACCGCAAAACAGAAGCCGGCAGAAAGAAACTGGATCACCCTTCTCTCCCTCAAATCGTTGCAATGCCGTCGTCACTGGATGCGTCCCATTGCTGCAAGTTGATATTGGCTGCGGTTAAAGTTCCGAACCAGTCTTTTACAAGTAACGGCAACCAACAGGGGTGACGAGGGGCTATTTGCGGAAAGAAAGTGGCATCTCTCAGTTCATTCCGCTGCCTTATGTCACTATTACCTTCCTAAAAAACCTGCACCATCAAACACAATTAACACTTCAGGAAATGTTGGTACTTGTAAGAAGCACAAGGTGTGGTCTATTTAGGAGCTTCAGGACTATTTTACTACACCAGAGACTACAAGGTTTCATTCAAAGCCAGTAAACAGGCAACCTTTTGAGTACCAATGCTTTAACCACCTTATAGTTTAAAATCGTTGTTCCCATTTATCTGAAGCATTTATTTGAAATTGCAAGAAATTGATTTTTCGTCCTCCAGAAATGTTAAAACAGACTCCGACAGAGCAAAACAATAATTCCTCAGCTTTCTGGCACCCATCTAAATCTAAAGCTCAAGAAGAAGCATTTTGTAATCGCGACCAACACCGATTTTACCATTTCGTTGCCACAAAGCAACAAAATGGCGATGCACAGAAGGCAGTTGCTGAATGGAGTGCTGATATTTTAAGCGTAGCTTACTTAGTGGCTCCAGTTCACTGTAATGCTTTTAGTGTTCTGCCTCTCTCCCTCAAACTTGGGGAGAGGAGGAAGCCAAAAGGATGTTCTGCCTTGCAGAAGACAGAGTTTGTATGAGAACACAGAGAGAAGTGGTGGACCACAAACCTGCTTGTAAGCTACGTGGAAGTTCATGGGGACCTCGGTTGAGGAACAGAGTACCTGGAACAAGGAAATGGGATGAGAATCTGAATGCAGTTTCTGACATTTTCGGACAGGAAAACGATGAGCTGCGCAAGGCATCTGTGCACTGCTCGATGGGAGCAGAAAGCAGAAGCGCGACGTCAACTCATCACCATGGTTAATGTGAGCATGAAAATGATTAATAGGTTTGGCAGGCAGCAGACACCTGTGGACCATTTTTGAAGAAACTTCAGGAACAGAAGACGCACCTTGAAATTATTTGGGAGAAAGTTTAGCTTGTTTCATTGGCAGGGGCCTTGCAGCTGTGAGCTGGTTAAGTCATTGCAAACCAATAGTTAATGTTAAAATAAAAAAAAAGGAATACATAAAAAAATATTTTATATTCATGAAACTCATTTTTGCATGCAAAAGCTGAAAATTAAGAGTTATTATTATTATTAACTATTAAGAGTCGAAGATTCGAGCCTGAATATAATATCATGGAGTGTGACAGCCAAAGCATTAAAAATTGTCTGCAGAAATCACCATTGTTGGTTGCCTGTGAATTGCAATAGCATTCATCATGTTTACCTCCTCTTGTTACGAGGTCATAGACAAGGCCATGGACGAGGCCATGGATGAAGCCATGGACGACGTCAAGGATGGCGTCAAAGATGACGTTAAGAATGACGTCTAGGACGACCTCAAAGACAACCTCTACAACAACCTCTAAGGCAGCTTCAAGGACGACCTAAGGATGTTGTCGAAGACGACGTCAAAGACAACATGGATGTTCTCGAAGACGACGTCAAAGACAACATGTTGAACGACCTTTAAGACAACCACTAGGGCGATCTCAAGGACGACGTCTAGGACGAAGTCAAGGTCGTCAGGTCCTACGAAGAGGGTGCAACTGAGAAGGAGTGTGGACTGCCCTCTGCATACGTGAGCTGAAATAGTCTGCACAGTGAGCTGAAATAGTCTAAAAATTAGGTTGTGTGTATGTTTATACTGCCTAGAACTTGGTCTGCCTCAACGGGCGACGAGTCTCCCAGCTGCAGATAAGAAATTTAGCTTGTGCAGTACAAACGCTAGCCTGGGGTCTTTAACGTGCATCACGCAGTAGTGATACACGACCGCACGCTGGTACGATGCTCATCCAGATCGAAATGGGCAGGGGTGGGGATTGAGTCCAGGATCGTGGGTTCTGCAGCGCAAGCTTTCGCTCCACATGCTCCGAGCTGGTGTGCGTTAGCCCACTCGGCCCCCGATCCTTCTCTGAAATTGTCTACTGCACATACCTACTGCGCATTAGGAGGCCAGAAAGGTCCACAAAATCGGGGGAAGGGGGGGGGGGGGGGGGGTAGCTAAAGAATGATATACAGTCGAATCTCGTTATAACAGACCTTGATTTTGACCAAGATTTCGGTCTGTTGTAAGAGGAGTATGCTGTATGCAGATATGAAGTTCAGTCAATGGTACATAGAGGAACACCAACTGAACTTCACAAATTGGTATGTTTTATCCAAATGTCTGTTGTAACCGGGTCTGTTGTAACGAGCTTAGACTGTAGCATTAAAATTCATGATTGCAAACAGAGTGACTGCAGTGTGCAACAAACCGATGTACCATCTGTTTGCACAATAGAAAAAGACTATACTTTGTTTTACCTCAAGACCGACCGCAGCGGAGGCAAAGAACGGTCATAGCCTATTTAAGGCCGTGCGAGTGCTACTTGACCTAGGAGAGGGGGTGCAGTGACAGAGTGTGCATTGCGTGCTGCGTTCACAGAGCTGAACTGGCCGAGATGGCTCGTAGCGCCCGCTATAGCCAGACGTAGGGTGAAAGAGAGTATAACATTTACTTGCACAATGAAAGCCACTCGCATAATAAACGCGCCTCCCACAGCGGGTGTCAATATTTAGACTTCTTTTTCCCCTCGCATAATGAATGCACCTCCAATTTTCGGCTCCGTGAGTCTCGAACTGCGTCCAACTTGGCTAGACACCAAGCCCACCAGGCCAATTTTATTTTGCCACCAAGCGGCCAAGCCAAGTCAAGCCAAGCCCCCATAACAAAACACACTCTCGTAATGGCTGCAAGTGCATAGTTCTGGAAGTGATCAACAGTGAAACCAAACGGCACTCGCACCTAACAAAGCTGGGGTCGAGAAACTGCCCAGCCCCGGACATGCTTTGCCCATCGGATGCATTGATGTCAACAAACACGCCGCCGTCTGTAAACAGCTTTCGGACAGTAAAATCATGAAAGTGGTTAGGCCTAAGAACAATCGTGTCGCTCTCCGTGCTGAGTGAGCTTCGTAAGGTCCTTTTCCATCGTCAAATGGCACGCTGAAAGCGCCATAAAAAAGGTTTGCAATTTATAGTGCATGGTTACTGTGGTGCGCCCATGACCACCGCAGAGTGCGCCTCCGTCGGTGGAGACATGCCACAGTACCTTGCCGTGTCATATTGGTACTTAAAATGACATTAGTGCAAAGTGTGTAAATGCAAAAGTTTTGCCTCACGTAATGAATGCACCCCCTAAATATGTGTCAAGTTTTCAGGAAAAAACGTGTGTCCATTTCGAGAGTCAAAATGGTGTAGTAGGGAGATGACAGGACAAGTGTTGTCCCATGTTCGTCTACCAGTCCTCGTATTTAGTGCTGTGTTGTTCTTCCGTAACCTGTAACCAACTAGCCTGTCAGTTGATTTTAATTTGGTAGAACGTCAGTCTGTTCGCTCGTCTGCCAAAAGAGAAAAAAATGGGCAAAGGTGCGCCGAGGACAGTGCGGTTATTACCTGGACGGCCTTAGCATTGGCATCCACTTTGTCCCTCAGAGCCTGCCACCAGGGGGTGTCTGAAGGGTAGCGCCATGGGTCCTTGGCATTCTCTGTCGCCAGCTGTAGGGTGGCACGGCTCACGGTTAGTGGCAGAGAGGACTCGGCAAGCAAACACTAAGTTCGGGATTTGGCAAGTGAGCACGGTAGGCATAATCCAGCACACAGGCCTTGTGTCTACCGCACGACCCACAGGGACCGCTGGCCCTCCAAAGCAACCGCATAAACCGGTTTTTAAATGTAATGAGCTGAGAGTTTCTATGAAGATGGCCGAAGACGGTGTGTTTTATGTATAAAAATTTCGAAGGATGGGCAATTACCTGAGTAAAGGTTACAAAGGAAAGGTGTGAATGAAAGGTGTGAATGCAGACGGCGGCCCTACGGCCGCCGTCTGCCAACAAAGGTGCCTGGTTTGCGAAACGGCCGAATGAAGGTGGCAGCTACTGATATAGCCAAATAGCCCGACAAGAACATTTCTTCTTGGTTTCAGGTACATGCGGCGTTACTTGTGAAATAACAAAATCGTGCGCTCCACTGAAAGAACTTGAGCCGCATTTGACTCCAAATACTGTTCGTTATTGCCAAGGTTGAGAGAAATGCCTGCTGTGGCTGCTTGCAATCTTTCATGCCTCCGTGTGTCGGCTGTTGCGCCAATCGGACGCCTTTCGTTAACAGACGGCCTCCAAAAGTAGCAAATTCACGCTCTCAAGGTTTTGATCCTTATGCAGTTAAGCTTGTTCATTGAAATTTTTATGCACAAAATGCACCACCTTTGATCACCTCTCTAGCACAAAACCTTAGCTCGATGCATTAAGGGGGGCACCACCTGGGAATGCACACTTTTGAACTGCACACTCAATCGGCACAATATTTGCAGGCGGTGTTTGTAGCCATGTAGAAGGAGGCCATGCTTCGTTCTGGGGGGCATGCCTTATAAAATTGGTGTGAACCAATTTTATAAGGTACATGCTCTACCCCCAGAACGAAGTAAAGCATAGCTTTGCATGGAATCTGTTCAATGAATCTATCATTGAGAAATGGTGTTGATAACCACATATTTTTCTGGTGGAACGCATACTGGAATACTTGTTGCCATTTACTATAAAAAGAAATAAAAAAAACATGCATTTTTAGGTAAAAGAATATTTAAAAAATATATATATATATATATATATATTTTTTACATCTATCAAATATTGCAAATTAATATTCTTCATAAGAAAAGAACATAAAAATGCAAAATCTAAGGTTCATAATAACCGTCTCCATAAAAGTTCGGCCAATTTGTTGCAAATATCAAGTCTCTCAACAGTTTCATACTGAAACAATAGTTTTCCTAAAGTAAAATTTATGCCAAAAAGTGGAACGGAGAAAGATGTGTTCAAAGTACTGGAACCTCTACCTTAACTTTAGCAACAGTGAACCGAAAAAAATTTATAAAAAAATAACTATGCTGTGTAAACAAATGAACCTTTCTGTGAATACTCTAATACTTTCTAGATGTTGATGGACATGACATTTTTCAAAATCAACGTATTTTTGTAAATTTTTGTATTTTTTTATGGGCAGTGTCCCCCATAAGAAACCAATTAATGCAGTCCCTTCAAAAAGCAAACAATACAGTTGAAGGTAGGTGTTGGCTAAGCACGCCGCGAAGTACAGGGCACGAGCTCACTCTTTTGCTTATCATCTAACTTTCTGTGCTTGGCGAGAGCAATCATAAATAGCAGGGTTCAAGCAACCCCAATATATTCGGAGTAACTGGAGCTGCAGATAGTACAATTCAAACCCCCCTCTCCCCATTTTGACACAATCATTTACTGAATTTGAGTGTGGACCCGTTTGGCATCTTCAAGTTGAAATAAGATGGTACAAAGAGGTAACAACAATCATCTGGTTGAAAGCAATCGTCACAGAGGCACTAGAGGATGAATTCACACAGAATTTTAGGAAGAGTGGTGGTTTTCAGTTGCAGATCTTTTACAGGCCCCCAGAAACCCTGAAATTTCTTCCTTTTAAAAGAGTGGTCAAAAGTAGTGTATTATTGTAACACTATAAAAAACTTGAAGAGAGCTCTTGCACTTTTTGCAATCCTCATTAGTGCTTCAAACTTTGTGTGGCTTTTGGTTTTGCTGTAAGAGAAAATGAAGTTCTCGAGACACCAGAGCAAACCTCATCCGCACGGCCAGTATTACCTGGGCTTTCCCGCGGTGGTCTATTAACGCGTGGGAACAGCCTTCCCTGTTAGTAAAGCTTGCCAGTAGAAGAGCAGATGCCCAGATGGGAAAGATACCAAGCCCCGGGGGTTAATCGTTGGGCAGGTGAGGTAACCCCCAGCCAGCCAAAGAAGTCGGGTGCTCCCAGAACGACGGAACCACTCACCCGTGAGATCTGAGCAAAATAAAAATAAAAAAAAAAAGACACAAATAAAACTATGGCAATGCAAAACACCAAACATAAAAAAATATTAAAAACAGAGTCCAACCACAGACGTTAAGGGAAGCCCCACACACTGAAGTTATTGCTTGCACCAGAGCTATGAGATTCATAAAGAAATGTACTGTTAGATCCCGTAACCAGTCTCTGAAAAAAAAATTTTCAGAACAATAGGTGTCTCTCACAAACCTTATGAAACCTTCACAAAGAAGTTAATTGTGCCTTCCGTGTCGTCGTAAGACTTCACACAAATTTCTCTCCTTTTAGCGAGGTTGCTTTCTGAATACTTACAATAAAAATCTTATGTTTGTGATTTATTTATATCTTTACATCTAATACATACATACATATAATTTAATGGCACTTCAGCTCGCCTGCTTTGTAAACAGTTTGGAATTTGAGGAACATGTGCGACTGAGAAACCCACTTCATACACTCCATCGCCATCGGGAAAATTGCAATTTCGCACCGCGCACTAACCACATTACGCTCAAGTCTGCATAGCAAATGCAGCACATTGCCTTCCAAACCACTTACAATGCAAGCGATTCTTACCGCATTTGTAAATAGTCACCAAGAATTATTAAAATAAAAAAGAAATAAAAAAATTTATCCTTCTATAGTCACAAGCAAAAACCCATACAATAGCTAGCCTATCAGACACCTCTCACACTAATCGGAGCATGACATTTTCAAACCCTCCTACAAACAGAATCTTGACAAGAGCTTGAATGGACTCTTTGAACTTGAATGGACCCTTCGAACTGATACCCTTATCAGGGATTATTTCTCTTATCAGAAAATGGCTAAAAATAACCAAATGGGTTTGATTTATTCCTGCTGTCCCGAAGTTCTCAAGAAGTGCTCTTATACACTCCTTGCAAATTACGAGTCGCTCTACAACAATTACGACACCATAAAAAGCTTCTACAAGCTTGGCGACGCCATCCAAAAATCAAGTCACACCTTGAAAGATAAGCCTTCACGTGAATGGATGCAGCAGTCGCTTGCAGATAGCCGCATTCTTATCTTTCGTTCCATGCCGAGAAGGCTGGTGAAAGAATTCTTCTATATTTCTTAAGAGATTTCTCAAGGGACAAAACCAAACCAAATTTGACGTTGGTGTCTAGGCAACGCGAGGTCTAAATAAGGCCTTTGAGCTACGGAGACACTGGTTTACGCTGTAGACGAGAAATTTTGCCACTGCTAGACTGGGGTCTTTAATGTGCAGCATGCAGTAATGGTACACAACTGCACGCCGGCATTGTTCACACCCGCGTGCGCGGTGCCGCGGTGCCCAGCGGGGACAGACCTTGAGACAAGGGTCAAGGACCAAAAAACCAACAACCTTTAGTTCGCGTACATCGCTCCTGTACTCTCTTGGCACCAGCGGCACTCTGTTAGGCGGGTCAACAAATACAAACAACAATGCTCATCCAGAGTGAAATGGGCGGGGTGAGGGATTGAACCCAGGATCTTTGGCTTCTGTAGCACAGGCTTTCGCTCCACGTGCACCGAGCTGTGGAGCGGAAACAAAAACAAGCTCGGCCACTGATCCTTCCCCTCAAAAGACAGAATACTTGTCGCAAAGACGGAGTACTGGGACACAAGGTAGTGTGGCAATGCGGGTTAAGGTGGCAGACCGTCATTGCTGCCGTTGTTGGCACAAAGCTGGTCAATATGTAAAATAAATGCTTTTTTTCAATGATATGCTGACAGAAACCTAAGAATGACCTCCCATACCTATACCTGTTTTCCACAGAAAGCTGGCTTCTCAAGGAGTGCTACTAGGGATGCCGCAAACTTTTTTCAAATCGAATTTTCGATGATCGAATCAAGCGGTTCGAAAGGTTCGAAAGATTTCGATTTTTCGAATTGTCTACATCGTAAAATTCGACGGAAGTCGAATTTTCGAACTTGTTGAGCTAAGAAGTTCGACGCTTTTCGAACTGTCGAACTTCTTACGCTAAAAAATTCAATCTTTTTCGAACTTTCGAACTCATTGCGCTGCAAAGTTCGATGCTTGTCGAACTTCCGAACTTGACTGACCAAAAAATTCGATGAATTTCGAACTTTCAAACTTATTCATCAAGAGAATTCGAAAAGTTTCGAACTTTCGAATCCTGAAAAGTCAGAATTTCGATGAACTTCGAAAGACCAGCGGACGGTTTCATTTGAATTCAAGTAGTGAGGTACATTTGAAGCTTTTTTTTTTTTTTCTCGAACTTTTACACGCGGTGCTGCGTTCCTTACGAAAGACAATGGCGTTTGTTTCAATGTTCTGGCATGCTTAGTTTTAAAGAAATAAATTTCCGAAGGGGCGAGGAAGGACGAGGGGTTTTTGATGATTATCGTTTGTGCCAGATTTGAAGCGCGCTGTAGCCGAAGCTATTTGTGGTAGAGATGTTATACTTTTTTTAAGAATGATCTACGTATAGCCTAGGTAAGTGCCGTCTTAAGATGTGATTATTGTTATTCAACGTGAGTTTCGAAGAAATGTCCAAACATGTATCTATGCAATTATGCCCTAAACTTGATATTTATTTTCGTCTAAGTTGTTTGAGGTATCATATTTAAATTAACACCACAGACAGTACATATCATTGCCATCTGCAGAATACAAAATAATGTATTTATTTTTTTCTCACGTTAAGGAATAAATTAACTACTGGGGAAGATTTCTAATAGTGTTCAAGTTCAGCACCGTCATTAAAAGAAACCTTTTTTTTTCGCTTCACGATCCTGGGGCGTGTTTCTTTTAGCCTGTACACATTTTGGTAAAAGAAACTTGTTTCGAAGTTCTGAACCTCTGAATACACAAGAATGCAACACTTCCGGCGAATTCTTGATAGTTTTTTTTTCTCCAGCTTTTTATCCCCGAATTTATTCTTTTTATCTTTTTTTTTTTCTTACTATTGGCACAGGTATTTAGGTCCAAAAGACATAGCTTTGAACTTTTGAACCACTAAGCATGTGACGAGTAGTGCCTTCTGACAACGAGTTTCTAACAATGACCATCTACGCAATCTTTTATGCAATGAAGAGCGACAGTAGCTATACATATGCATAAATAATTTGAGATTAAAATGAGCTCGACCACGCCCTCTTTTCCCGTATCGTTTTCTTTAACAGTCCGAAATATCTGGAAAGGGGGAAGGGAACTGAAGCCCCCCCCCCGCTACCCTCTTCCGATGCCACTTATATGGTAGAACGCTCCTCGACCACGAGTTGTGTCGGCTTTTTGCGAGGCGATTCCTCCGTCCCAGAAAATAAACCTCCAGGACAATTACAAACTTAACTTTCTATATGCCAGTGTCACTCGGGCGGCGTTCGATCGGATTACTACCAGCGTGCAAGGGGTGGCGAGGTAGTTTGCCAGGTCGCTTCAAGGTTTTTCTGAGCCTCAGCCTCCTGCTCGACCCTGGCCGTTTCGAACTGGATGAGTCTCGTAAAACAGTGTGTTTGTGTGATCACTACTGCGTGATGCAGGTTAAAGACCCCCCCCCCCCCCCCCCCCGGGCTGGCGGTCACAATTACGGATCCATGGTCACACGTCACTCTGCACTGGAAAATATTCCAGCACATCCAGGACACTCGTCGTCTCATTTAATTGCCTGACCAACTTCGCAGAATCTAGATATCACACCCTAACTTTTCTAAACTTGATTTTGTGAAAACCAGTGAGTCGTGAAAACGTTATTTGAAACAAACTGTGGAGGAACTTGAAAACCGGACTTCGAACTTTGAAAACTTGCGACTAGAAAGGAATTCAAAATCTTCGAAGTTTTTTTTTCTTCGAATTCAGTGTTAAAAGAGAATCGAAACCTTTGAACTTTTCGACCTTTATGCAGAAAGAAATTCGAAATCTTCGAATTGTTCGAACTTCATGTTTATAAAAATTCGAAGCGTTCAAAGTTTTCGAATTTTATTTACAAAGAATTTAGAAATCTTCGAATTTATCGAACCTGAAGTAAAAAATATTCGAAATATTCGAATCCGAAATTTTAGAAACCGTGAAAGCTTCGAACTTTTCGAATTCAAACTCCACTGTGATCGAAAGTTGCGAATTTTTCGAATTCGAACCTCGGTCGGTACGAAAATATCGAAATTTTTCGAATTTGAACCTTAGTTCGCTTCACAAATATCGAAACCTTTCGAAATCAAACTTGGGGTGGTTCGCGACATCCCTAAGTGCTACTGATTTCCCTCGTTATGTGGGGAAGTAAGGTTTGACTTTTATGTGCATTTAAGATCAGTTATTTGTAGTTCAATGATTATACCCGTTTCAACTGTAAAAATCATTGCTTTTTTTCTCACAATCAAACATTGCAAGAGTTATACCTTCCATGGCATACAAACCATGTGCAAAACTTGCTTTTTACGTGAAGTGCCAGTGAACTTAGTCTGAAACACGCATAAAGAAGCAATGGTGTGATACCCATAAGATGAGTTTCAGATATACTATGTACTTGTCCACGTGAGCTTTTTGCGCCATTTGTTATTTTTATAATGTACTAACCGGCCTAACTACATGCAATGCAACAGGAACGGCTGCTGTTCAAACACTTGCATTTGACTATGGTTGACTGCACTGCGACCGGTCTTTAAGCCGCTCGAGACTGCTTACAAGCAGCTGTGCAGCAGTACAACCAGTAGTTGTAACCAGTAGGTAAGCGGCTGTAAACAAGCAGCCTGAAAGCTGGTTGCAGCACAGTCGGTTCTAGCCAAACGCGAGTGTGTAAAACAACAAAAAAATGAAAAAAAAATATATATATATTTTTTTAGGGTAGATTGAAACACTCATTTTTTTTTTTCAAATTAAAAAGAAAAAAGCATTGCGCAACATTTTTGTTGTTGGACGCAATTCTGGACGGGACGTAAGTCCCGTCCAGAAACATAGTTAACTACGCTCCATTGCTCGGCTCCCCCAAGACAGCCTTTTCTGCATTGGTGTGAAACAATAACAAACAAGGCTGCTGGCGTCTGCAGAGCTCATTGAGAGCAGCTCGTCAAGCTTGTCTGTTTATATGATTGCGAGTCGTTTTGCATCCACCAAGGTGTTTAGAGGAAGGTCTCTTCAACCGACATAGTAAACTATTTTGCTCTATCTGGCTTGATTTGTTCGTTTCCGCATGTTGATGCTAAATAAAGATGTTGGTTCATGTAAGCAACTTTTCTGCTCTGCAAATTGTGCAGCTGTTGCGACTGCAACCATGGTTCCAATATTGCGAAGATACCTACACAGGTAAGAATTTCCTAGCCATCTGGCTGGAGGCAATCGGGTGTTCAGCTCGTATGAAGTTTGCCCAGGTATGTTCCCTTCATTTCGCTTCAAAAGGCAAGTAGCTCTCAGGTTTTGCAGAGCACCCGGCTTGCCAGAGGAGCAATTTTTAAGCCGCATTTTAATTGTGCATTATGACGCTCATTCAACTCGCTCGCAGATACCATGCAAAAAAAAATAACAAGAACAGAAAAGCTGAAATGACTGCATATTTATTGTTGCTTTTTTTTTTTTTTTTTTAGTCCTCGGTCGCTTTTTATTACAGATGCTGACAGACTCTTGTATTGGACTATAAGGCTTGTGCATGATGGAACGGTAAAACGCCGCTTTCATGGTTGCGTCTTGTGAGCGTTGCGGAAGTTTTTAGATAGGGCAGAAAAGCAGACGAAGGCAAAAACGAACGATGACGCACAGCTTTCATGTCCGCAACTTACGGGCATTGCAGACGACAATAGATGATTGTGAAATGGCAGATGATGCCGGGGGCTGTCGCGCGTCTGCTCGCACTACTAGCAGGCGGTATCAGACACCAGACTACATGCAATGGATGTCATGAAGAGGACACTAGGCTTGCTAGCATGTTCAACCGAGCCACCAAGCCAATCCAGCAGTAATGGGCGGGGCCTAGAGTGGGCCGTTACCTTACCTCCACCTAAATTGTGTCTAACAATGTAAATTTTGCGGAAATAAAAATTTTCAACTTTTGACAATTTCTAAAAAAAGAATTCTTTGTGTTTTTTTGAAAACAAAACAACTTCTAATTTTTAATTTCAGGGTTTCTTTGGGGAACTTCCTTTAGTTTGCTACAATTTTGCTATCCAAATATATGTCTGGCAGAGAAAACATTGTTACTAAAGCCTTTGGGGGTACCTTTGCATAGTAGTATGGTGCAATCCACTTGTAACGATGAGGAAAACCCTAAAATTCCATGATTATAACCGATTATCGTTGTATCTGGACTAGAAACTGAGTGTTTCTCGTCTGGAAACTCTAGAAACTGGTTGTTATAAGCATTACATCGTTATAAGTGGACTGCACTGTATACCAGTGCACTCAAGGGGCAGTGGTTTTCTAAATATCACGCAGTAATCGCAGTATTAATAGTCCCAAAATTATGATTGACCCGGTGCAACTACATAGTGCACCAAGAGCTTACCTGTTCAGCAACAGCACCTACATCCCCACAGAGTGCCACAGCTGAAGGAATGCTGCTGTGAAGTTCTTCTTGCAGGAGCTCCACCTATAGAGAAACCAAAACAATTTGCAGCGGCATTCCAATCAATTGATCAAGTCGTCGTATACAAAATTGTGTTTCGTGAGGATCGAAGCCAACACTAACTCTAGTCTCAGCATTCCAGGCACACAACACCGTGCCTGGCAAAGCTTTTATTTTCTACTACAGTCTCTTCTCCTTTTCTCTTGTTGCAGCTCTTGAAGCTTTTGCAGCTGGCGAAGTCTCTCGAAGTGTCTCTGAGTCCTCTCCCCTGCCTCTTCTCTTTGTTTTTTTTTTCAGTTGCGATGTGTAACTGGCGGAGCTTGCGGCAAAGGCATTCGGTAGCCAGCCAACTCTCTTCAATTTTGGCATGCTTCACTTTTCAAAGGTAAATCAGAGTTAGTTTCAGTAAGAATGCAATTCTGCATTAGAAAAGCTCAAGGTACACCTAAGCACTCCTTATGAGTTGTGAATGCGAAAGCATGCGTGCCGTTCTTCCGCTCCTGTGTTTCATTTGCGGCGTATTTGCGTCGGCCATGCGCGAGCTCTCCCAGCTCTCCTCACAGCTCTGATCTTAGACGCCTCATGTTAGAGGCGTGCCCGCGGTGCGGACACGCAGCGCAGACACGCAGCGCCATGAGGCAGCGGTCACTGAAACTTACGCGCGCAGCAGCCAATGGGAGCCTCATCGACGCGCGCCAGCCAATGGGATCGAAGGCAAAATCCATCAGCTTTACTCCGCTCCTTTGGGATCGGGGAAACTAGGTGCCGTTTGGCTAGGCTTGTCGCATATTTTCATAGCTGGGAGCTGGCTTTACTTGAAAGGATTTAAGGTGCCATTTGGCGCGCTTCAAACTGATGACGTCCGCTCACTCCAAAAGTAAACGCGCGTTACAATCAAAACCCAAAACCGAAACTCAATAAGAAAAACGCAATACTCATTATAAGGTGGCTAGCCCCATCGCCATCGTGACCGTTTGATTTACATTCGCCATTTTGGTATCCGTATAACGCGTATTCTCTCGCATCTATAGTCTGTTGCAACCTAAGAACGAAGGGCAAGGGTAAGACGGGCCGGGGAGGAGGAAGCAGACGAAACGCTAAAGAGAGAAGGAGGTTTCCCCCTCTCTTCTCCAGCGTTCCGTCTGCTTCCTCCTCCCCGGCCAGTCTTACCCTCGCCCTTCGTTCTTAGGTTGCAACGGACTATAGGACTCGTGTCTGCCGTTCTAAGATGGAAAAAGAAAAGAAATTCGACCAGCAAGGAATATGTAAACGAAAGGCCATCACGCCGCCAGGGAAGGCAACAACAGAGCAGCACTGCATGGCCTTACAATCTTAGCGACCCGATAGCTTGCGAAGTAGTTTAGAAGACGACCTCCCTAGAGGTGATGGTCGCGCACTCGCACAAGCGCAAGAAGCACAGCACCTAAAATGCTTTAAACAAAAGCAAGGATTACCTTTGTGGACAGCAAAGAACCATTGCCGGACTCTGACAACGGCGACTAGTGCACGGTATTTTGTACTGGTGTGCGTTTCATAACGTCTGTTCTATGAGGTATGTGTTCAACCTTCCTTTCTTTATTTGCACGGTAGAATCAGCATCAAGGTATTTTCTGAATATATGAGCGCTATATATACCTGTGCGCTACCATCGGGGGCGCGTTACAATTGTGCAAACACGGAATATAGAGGGTGGCCACAGTGTTCCCCACGCTCAGTGATGTGATTGGTCTAAGCCATTTTGGAGCACCTCTTGGCGCAGCCAAAACAGTGTTTTTAAGCAGCAAAAGTGGCCTTAGGAGCAGCCAAAACACTGTTTTGGAGCAGCAAAAGTGGCTTTTAAAGCAAAAATTCTTAGAAATTTTTTTTTAAGTGCTGGACAAATGTAGGGCACTTTGAGCTGTGTTGTGACAGAACACGCTTTTTGTGTTTTTACAGCTGAGACATCCCACAAGTGTACAGTGTTGTAGCCGTTGCCGAGCGATTCCGAAAAGAATGGTTGCCACCGTTTTACTGGTTCCCGACGTGCCAGATTTTCGTCAATAGTAAGCGAACGTAAAACAATGAATTGCAAGAGTCCCAACTGGTGCCTCTGTTGTGCAGTCATGTTCCCATGCACGTGAGGGCAACATCAGCAGGCTTGCAGTGGTATGTGCTTCGTCGCGCAAGCGGAGACAACGGCTGTTCAATCGAAATCGGAACAATGCCACTCCGCTCCACCGCCAACTGGTTCCCAAAATAGTATGCAAAATGTAACTGTCCAGCATACGACAAAACAACACTCCAGCGGCGCGTGCTTGCCAGACCGGCAGGTGAAGTACAAGCTAAACACACAGGAGAAAAGAACTTGAGCGCATCGACGCAAGACATCGCGAGCCAGGGTCAAGAAGCGCTTTGTGCAATGACTGAACTCAAGAGAAACAAGCGCGATGTGCGCACGGGTTCAGCGTGTAGACATTGCCTTCTTTGCTTTAGCTCACCTCTCTTTACCAACTTTCTTTTGCAGCAAATTTTTCACGTACCGGGGTCCCTCTCGAAAGGAACCCCACCGAGAGAAACCCAAGTAATCATTATTTCGACAAGCAGTCTTTGAATTAAAGGGACACTTCAACGAAGTTTGAAAAACACTTGTCGTGTTCAGAAATGGGTTGAATAGGATCCCCAACATTTGTAAATGATAATTGCACGTTTGTATTTTGAGCCTGATCGCTGCATTTTTGTTTATAAACGGTCCACTCTGGCACGCGCTCGGAGAGCAGCCAGCGGAGAGTATGTGACATTCGCCGCAATCATGACGTAGTTTGTCTCGGAGCATGCAAAGCTTCGACGAGGCTGATGTCGAGAAGATATCCTAACAGTTCCAGCCACCGAAGCGGCTGCTTTTGTGCGAGTTTTGAGTGACGGGTAAATCTTCTATAATCATGTAGAGGGACAATAGCGACTTCTGGGAGACACAAAGAATATTCTCGGGGGGAGGGGAGCTCCTCCTTCCCCTTTTCTCTCGTGGTGGCCAGAGGCGAGACAGGTATCGTCACTACCTGTCAAAGTTCCTAGACGGGCATTACAAACGAGGCGTTAGCGACAACCACTAGGTGCTCTTTGCTAATCGTTTAATTTGTTTTAAAATTCCTTTTCATGCCTTTTTCAACAAAAGATTGATGTATCTGATGTGATAGTCCTCCCTTGAACACGAATAGACCAAGAGATAAGCGCCGAAATTTCGTTGTAGTATCCCTTTGAAGAGGGATTTTTGTAGCAGAGTATAATTTAAACAAGGACAGGAATGTCGATGAACAAGCTTAGAAAGAACCATATCTGCAGCGACATGGGGATGGCAACACCCGACGTCGCGCGACCAGCGTTTCAACTCACAAAGCAACTCTCGTCACGCAAAAACATGGTTTTGTTTCACAGCATGACGGCATGTCTGGCACCCGGCACCCGGCACACGAGTGTCAGAGCATCCACACACGCCCGCGTCTATCGTTGAAAAAGTTTAAAAAGACGCGAGACGAGATTCCCGAGACGACAAGGTGCGAAACGCGAGACGACGGCAAAAACCATGCAAGGCCGGATGGATGCAGGGTAATTTGTGTCGGGCAGAGCCGTATATTGGGAGAGTTTGGCCAGTGGGTGTGGCGACGAAGGCGCCGGAGAGGAGAAAAGGAAATGAAAGCGAGGAGAGCGCCGAAGGAGCGAGAGAGAAAGAAGGGAACGGAGAGGAGACGACCGCCATATTTGAGCAATGCTGTCGGAGACTGGTCGGAGAAGAGCACTGCTGAGGCTATGCGTCGTCTGCTACGGGCCGACTTCTTTTTCGCCTGAATAAAAGTTTGCGGCCATACGCCGAAAAATCTTCATTAGCTTTTTAACCCACCGAGGAATAACAGAATGTCATTTTCTTGCCAGAGCCAGCGATATAAAAGGTAATAATCGAGATTTAGATGCCTATCCCACGCATTTTGCCGGGAGAATGATCGAAGATGGCGGCCCTCTCCACTCAGGTGGGAGCAGCCGGGAGTTCTTGCGCATGCGCTCATGCCTTTCGCTCTACGCCGCATGCCGATTGGCTCACTTGGGAGGAGAGCGTTACGGCGGCGAGATCATAGACTGGCCAAACTCTCCCCATATACGGCTCTGGTGTCGGGCGGCCGCTTGCGCCATCTAGCTCACGCATGCTAAATTACGTTCTTGGTTTAGTTTCGGTTTTGAAAGGCGACCGAAATTGGTCCTTTGGCGCAGGCTTGGTGCAGATTACCCATATTTTGGCAAAATTTAGCAGGACGTAGCAGGGTTAGCCCCTTGGCGCAGTTTGGCACAATTGGCGCAGCAATCACATCACTGCACGCTGTAAAACAAACTGGAAAGATTGGCACCCGTACATAAAAAGCTAGAACTATCAGCGAATGTGAAAACACACAACAGAGCGTGCCATCTGTTCGCTGCACCTACCATGATATTGCACCATAAGTTACAATCATCACTAACTCGGTCGCCTGCGAAGATGTCTGCCATTGATTTAGCAAGTCTGTTGGTCTCATATTTTACAGGAGGATAACTACAGGTGAAATCCACCGCCTCAATGAAGATTCAATGAAAGTTCGAGCTTTCCATGTTAAGATGCAGATTTTTCCGGTTGATCTTAGTGTAGAAAACACTGTGGCCACTCATATATACTGAACCCGCACATAAAAGAAGGAGATGCAAGTAAACTTGCCTTTTACCCGAAAGGTTTTGTTCCTTCTTTTCATGACACAGAAACAGACAATCTATCTTGATTAGCAAGATACATGCTATCTTTATACATATCTAGAGAACCAATATGACATCTGGTTACCACATAAACTGGCCTGCCACTGAAATACATACGGCAAATATTTTTATATTGCTTACACTATTCACTTACAACAAAAGAGATGTAGGGGCACTACAGGAGCATGCACCTAAAACAAAATTTGAATTATGATAACATAAAGAAAAAACAAATTCCCACTCTTTCAAGCGATGGGATGATCATACATAAAAAAAAAAAAAGAACTTATAGTTTTTCCACTTTGGTGAAGAAGGAAGACCAGCGAAGCTAAACTACGTCGGGACGTCCTCAAGGACGACTTCTTGGACGAACTCAAGGACGACGCCTAGAGGATGACGTTTAGGACGATATCTAGGCCGACCTCAAGGACAATGTCTGGGACAACCTCAAGGACGACGTCTAGGACGACGTCCAGGACAACCTCAAGAACGACTTCCAGGATGACCTTCAGGACGACGTCTAGGACGACTTCAAGGATGACTTGTAGGACGACCTCGAGGACAACCTCGAGGAAGACCTCAAGGACGACTTCTAGGACGGCGCCTGGAGGAATTCAGCCTTTCCACTCTCGCGAAAAACAGAGTTGAAAGGCTGGAAAGGTTGCTGCCATCTATGAGAGATGGCGCCAACCAGCAGCCGGTTGCCCGGTTGCCGCTGTCGCTTATAGATGACGGTAGCTGTCCAGAGTTTTGTGTCGACATTTATTCGGTGACGGACACTCCCTTAACCGCTCCACTGTAAAAAATTCTGTAATGTCTTATTTTTAAGTGACAGGTAGTAAACATACACCAGCTATTATCGAATAAAACAATATTGACTTTGATAGTACTGAAAAAGTTTGAAATTAAATTTCAATAAAATTTGAACAACATTGCATCGTGAATAAAGGATGATCTACTATAATAGTAAAATCCCTGGAGAAGGGGAACAAGGGGGGCAAAGGACAAACACAAATTTCTTGATTTTTTTTGCCCTTTGTCCCCCTTGTTCTCTTTTCCAGGGATTTAATTGTTATTCTAGTCCAGCTCGCTTGCACCTTTGTATTCAATGTATTATCATCAACGATCTATAAAGATTCTGTTATGATGCTGTTAAGCCAGCGATTTTTACTATCAGTTTACATTCATATGTATATCCTATGCTCACCCTATATTCTATGTACTTATTTTGCATTATTGTAGTTTTGTTATGTAACTACAGGCTGCCCCCCACAAAGTTTTTTTTACCGCAAAAATAAACAATGTATTGCTGGAGGCTCATTCTCTACCCAAACGTAGCAGAGTATTCCGAACCAGATGTCAAAGTTTCAGAACTGTTATCTTATTCAAAAGTCGTAAGTGATCTGAAATATTCAATGGGAAAATGGCAGCCGACGGAGCCCTCAAACACATGAAGCTGAGTGGTGTCAGTTACCAAGAACCCCAAGCCCTATTTTCCCACTGAAAGTTTAAGAAACCGCTTATAACTTTTTAAATAAGTTAACTGTTTGTTCTGAAACTCTGGCCTCTGGTTCGAACCACCAGGGCTGCATTTGGGTGGAGAATGAACGTTTCTTGATGAATAGTTTACTTTCGCGGTAAAAAAAAACTGCGTAAATATTATTTTGGAACATGCTCTATTTCTGAGGTATCACAAGAATTACAATCATTCTGTATGTTTCTGTGGCTTTCAGTTGAATGTATTTTTCCTGCCGTTCATGTGAACTGTAAGGGGGCAGTGCAAAACCAGGACTGCTATCCATTCTCTTCTTTCCGACTCTGTAAAAAAAAATAAAAAAAACTATGGCAGCCCTTTTTTTTAGTTTTAGACATTGGTTTCAGTGGATTGGTCTAGCCATGTGTACGTCACACACGTCTATACTCCGTCTCATCCAAACTTTGCAAGTGGTGAAGGCTTCGGTTCCGGTGAGCCAATCAGCACATCAAATCATGTGGCTCTATCTCACTAGTTGTGCGCAGTGCTGTCGGAGCCATGGGCGGGAGAGAAGAAAATCGCTTATGTACGAATTTCGAGTGACAGGCCAGTCCCAGAGGGGAACAAAAGTAACACTTCAAATGCGCAGAAGAGGGTTCGGCTAAGAGGGGAGTTCCTCCTCTTCCTCTGATAAGGGCTGTCACGTGGTTTGCCTCCGTCACTCTGGTATACTCGAGGGGGCCGTAGCGTTTGCTTTCTGCCAAGTTATGGTGAAACAAAGTATAGGCGTGACCTATAGGACGTCTCCGAGGCATCGCAACATCCTACAAATGTCCAGACGACACAGATGGACTATCTGTGTCGTCTGGGAATGCCTAGAAACAATCAATAGAACTTGCCTGGATGATCTTGACTCCGGCACTGAACCGTGGTGGCCGTCCAAAGTGTAGCATCCAGTTTAGTCGAGCACCCAGCAGCAGAATGACGTCTGCCTCCTGCAGGGCCCTGGGGGGGAAGGGAATGGTCGGAACCCACAAACAGGTGCTTACATTAAAACTAAATACAGTAAAATCCTGTAAGGAGGCCCTCGTCCGAGAGATTGCCCATTCCGTATTGCTGGCTAAATATTCGCAACATAAAAATTCGAAAACATCGCCCATCTCCCTCTTTCCGTCGAACGTCGCACGATGTCCAACAGGAATCGCATCAACCACGCAATCTGCAGTACCAGTGCGTCTGCAGGGTGTTAGCGGGTTTCCGAGTTTTTGTCCACGATCTGCGCGTGCTATATTGGTTTCCGTAACATGCAAATTGTTCCCAGATGTGTATTACATTGCGAGATGTGAATTTACTGTATCCGCGATCTGCGGTATCCATTCCCGTGACATGCAAGTTTGTAGTGGATTCCCGCGTTTTTGTCTGCGATCTGCAAGCGCAAGATCAGTGCCCGTGACAGGCAAGTTTGTATCCGGTTCTTTCATGTTACTTTGCAACGTGAAACTTGAACCTACTATGTCCGCAATCTGCGGTATTTATTCCCGTGAGATGAGAGTTTGCAGCAGATCCCAGTGGGTCCTTTGCACCACAAAACGCGAACATGAAATGTCTGCAACCCGAGGTATCCTTTATTGTGACACAGGAGTTCACAGCAAATTCCCGCGTGTTTATCGTATCGTGAGACACGAATTTGCCGTGCCCGCGATCTGTAGTTCTCGTGTCATGTGGTTTGTTTGCAGCGGGTGCCCAGGTGTTTATCACTAATTATACATAAAGTTTACCTGCTGCATATTCAAAGGTAGCCCACCCCATTTCTTTCACTATTTATCTCTTCATTTTGGGTGGGCGTTCTTACGAGATTTTACAGTAAACTAGATATGAGATGCTACAACCAAAAACGCACATCTTCCCTCTGTTTTATGCACTTTACCCAGTAATTGTGTCGTGTGTGTTTAGACAGCCGGAAGTAGTCTGCCCCAATGGACATCTTTCCTCTCAGCTGTAGATGTGAAATTTAGCCAGTGTAGTACAACTGGTAGCCCGGGGTCTTTAACGTACACTACGCAGTAGCAATATATACGCAACCCCACGTAAGTATGATGCTCATCCAGGTCAAAACGGGTAGGGGTGGGGATTGAATCCAAGATAACTGGGTTCAGCACCGCTTTACGGGCTCCGAAATGCGATGCGTTAACACAATCGCGAGCGATTCCCCCCCCCCCCCGCCTAACCTCTTCACTGAAAAAAAAGATTAAGAAGGCAAGCTCTTTGTGGCACGGTTATGAGCCAAAGCAAGTTCTTCTTCAAATTCTGTTTTCACTTTGTACCCACTCTATCTAAGCTCAGCCTCATGCTGATCAATGAATTAGAAAGTGTTCTAGCTAATCCTGCTAAAACATAACCAGAAAAAAATTTTAAATTGTATTTTGGCAATTAAGTTGATATATGCAGATTTGCGTTTTACGGGAAACATAGTGGAAGCAAACTAGAGTCTCAGCTCTCCAACCATGTGACGCCGTGTCCGGCATCGCTACATCCTTTTTTAGTACAGTTGACTCGCCTTAATTGGACCTTGGTTAATTTGACTCATCATTTAATTCGACCCTGTTGAAAGGTCTTGGCAAAAACCCATACATTTCTATACATAAAAAAAAAACTCGATCTTGAAATAATTTTGACCTGGAGAAAACCAGCGGTGGGCAAATTACAAGCACGATTGGCCGTGCGTGACGCACAAAAACGGGCCTTTTTTTTTTCAATTACGTGGTGGGCAAGTTACAAGCGCCGCTTTGTGAAGAAAAAGAAAAAGAGAGCACATGTTGAGACACAATAGAACACGGTCCAGTCTCAACACAAATCAACAATTGTAACACTGGTGCGGAGCAGCGAGCGCCACTCCATAGTGGTGTTGCCACTGCCGCCGCACTGAATGCGCGAAGAAAGACACAGCCACTGCTACCGCCATGCCGCAGTGTGCGGCGGCTCATTATAAAATGTTAGCCCACCTGATCTAAAACGCTGGATATTCCGAATTTCTCACGCATCTTTGAATTCAACTTTCAGATAATTTTATCCGATTTCTCATGTCCTGTCAGGGTTGAATTAACGCAAGCCGACTGTACAGCTTCTTTTTCTTTTTTAGTCTTGTTGTTTTTGAAGCTTGCGTAGCTGGGGAAGTCTTCTCAAACCTTCTTGAAGTCCTCTTTCTGGCCTCTTCCATTTCCTTTCCTTTTTCCTTTTACAATTGCACGGCAGGGCTGGTCGAGCTCGCGGCACTGCCATTTGGCAGCTGGCCGAATCTCTCTGGCAGTGGCTGGCCTTCACATGCTTCACTTTTCAAAGCCAAATCAAAGTTAGCTTCAATAAGAATGCGACATCTGCATTAAAAGAGGGCACTCACTTTGACCTGGCTGGAGAGATGCACTGGGGGTGGTCGTCGGGCAGCAGCCCCTTCCCCATGGGTGTCGGCAGGTACGGCAGCCCCGTAGACTCCAGGAACTCGCGCACACTCTTCTCAGCGCGGGCATACGAGGCACCTGGGTTTTTGACGCATAAACGAGATGTGGCGTGATGTCGGGCTTCAAGACCCTGGCCCACACCATAGAACCCGATAAATGTCAGGTCCCTTAAACTCTCACGAAGCCAGAGAAGCGTGAAGTGCGCATAGAAAGCTCCTTATAATGTCACTGGACCGAAATTTCTCTCGAGATTTTAGTTTTGGGGCTTGGGAAACGAAAATGTTGCTTCCCACCTCTATCAGAAAGTGGAGTCTTTGCCAATACTGTTTTGCACGCCATGCTCTTATTCCACGCGGATGAAAATAATGATTGACAACACGTCTACATGGCACTTTTGTTTGCACCATTAACTTTGCCAATTTTGGAAAATGAGAGGTGGTTGCAGGAAAGTATGCAACAAAATGGTGGATCAGTGGTATCGTATTCTCAATATTTTATTTATTATAAAATAAAAACAATAGTGTCCTAAGATGATTAGGATCGTCTGTGGCAATCACTAAACAAGGAAACGTTTCGGGCCTGGCAAATCCTTCGTCAGTTGAACTAGATGACTGTTTTCTTTCAGTGATGTATCAAAATTTCCGCCAGAAAGAAGCTTTTGAAAAAAAAATATTTACGAAAAGAGAGACCTTTACCAGCTACGTAGCACAAGGTACAACATCCAATTTTCTGTGATCGCTGAAGAATTTGAAGAACTACAATCATGGGTGCTTCTGATGTATACATGGCACCCTGTCCTTGAATTGATTATATTCTTGTTTATATTATGCTGGCCTTATGCCTCATGATTTGCTGAAAAACAAGAAAATATCAAACACACAATTTTTTTTTTTTTTTAATTACCGTAATATCCCGAGTCATCGCCCATCCCCGAGCCATCGCCCACCCCATTTTTTGGGCCAATATCGATTTCCGAAAAAACACCGAGTCATCGCCCACCCCTTCAAATACCCCAGCGCGGACTCTGCGATCCGCGAACACTCATCCTACCCGAATGACGCGGCCGCGGACCTTACAGTTGGAGGACGTCCGTGACAAAGTAAAACGAAGGAGGGAAAGACACTTTTTTGTTTACGCATTTCCTCCGTGAGCGACCCCAAAGTGGTCGTGTATCCGTGCGAAAAGAAAACGATGGAGATAACAAAATAAGAGTTTGTTAAAATGTAACCGCAGAGTGTTAGGTCAAAGTCTGTCTCCGCCGAAGTAAGGTCACCGCGAACCCGCTCCTTCTTCCTGCCCGTCGTGACCGCGGTTGCGCAATATTTTAGGCAAAGCCAAAGCGTAAATAAAGCTTTGCTGGAACGTCCTACACAGACGTTTGCAGAGCGTCCCAACCGTGCATTGATAGCCCGCTGTGCACGGACACACGTATGTACGCACCAAACAAGAAAGTTGCGCAAGAGCTTGCAATTGACAAGGCGCCCGACTTGGCCCGACGCCAAAGTATTTGCCAACGCGACCGCCGCCTTTCCCGCTTTCCCAGCATTGCTCTTGGTAGCTTCTTTGGACCGCTCGCTCGCTGGCTCGCTCGTTGCGCCTTGTCGGTTTTTCTACTTTCTTGTAGACTTTTCTTTCTTTTTTTTTTTTACTAACTAGGAGAACATAATGGTGACATTCTTTCACGGAACAAACGTTCGCGCTATATGCAGATCGGCGGTGTTTCTAGCGCGTATGCAAGCAGCGGACTTCGCTATAGTAAAATATTCTTTCGTGAGCATTCTTTTCTTCAAAACAATGAAACTAAATAGAGTTTTGAGTTTGATGTATCTCTTGTGCATCAGCGCTAGATACACAGAGAAAAATAGGCGTTTTTTTCCGCTTTTTTTTTAAGTGTTTGTGCTCACCCACCGAGACATGGCCCACCCCACTTTTTTAACGAATTTCAGGCGGTAGGGGGGTGGGCGATGACTCGGGATATTACGGTATGCTATTGTTTTAGTACTGTATTCAACAACATTGTAAGAAAAAGAGGTAATTTTATCAAAGCATTTTTGGATTGAATGACATAAGTTAGTGAATATGGCATCACAGCTTCGGAGAGGAAAAACCAGTAGTGCTTGCAACTGTATCCTACAATTAACCTTATTTTCTCATAAATACAACAAACTCCATTTTTTCTGTAAATACAACAGACTTCCTTGTTCTTCTCGTAAATGTAATAGACCCATGAGTTTGACGTACCATACCTAGAGGTCGCAAAAATCGCCAATATCTGCAACTTCCCCTCCCACCCCCACAAATATGCTAGAGATCATAATTAATATGCAACAGTTGAGCCTGTGCATTTAAAGGTTTCACAGTTAGTGCACCATACACTCTGCGGCCAAGATAGCACAAAAACAACATTCACACTGCCTTGCATTGAAGAACAATATTCGTTACCGCTTGAGTGAAAGCCCTGAATGAGCACTTTCCACCAAACTACTAGTCTTGATGAGGTTCTTATAATTTTAATGCTTTCCTTACCGGGCCTATTAAAATTGAACGATTTGATTGATGAATTTGTTATGGAGATACTCTATTTTGAGTTTCAGTTATGGTTTTTGCTTTTCCGCAAAGGGGCGATTCTTCGTGCGACTTTAAAGTTCCATATTTATCAACGATCGCATCATGTATGGCGTCCTTGCCCCGCGCCGACACTCCTCGAAAACATCTGACTCACGAATCTGGTGCCTATGCAATCTATTTTGTGGATGAAACTGGCAGAAGTAAGTCAAAAGATGACGTTCAATCATTGGATGTCAGTTCCAATCGTGGCAGTGGGTCAAACCAGCCGGGATTATCTACAAATTCCTGTCGATATGTTTCGTTTTGCACTCCGAGTGCATTTATTGCCCCCACGAGCGACTATGGACATGCCGGGCGTGTTCCTCCGACCGCATTATTTTTTGTCAGAAGGGTGTCAACCTCATATAGACACGATTTTATGCCATCACCAGCTAAGCGAGCATAGTTTTCTTCCAAAAAATGGCCTGATCTCGGCCTCGGCATAATGTTACGGGGTAGCATGAAATGCTTTGGTCGGGGATTGGGGAGGTGGTACAGTCATCGTGGAGGCCCCTTTTCTTTCTGGGGAACACAAAGTTTTGCACAGAGGCTTTTCGAACTTGCAGGATTTGTTTCTAGAAGAGCAAAGTACACAATGTATTTTTTTTTTATTTTTAGAGCACAGCTCTTAGGCGCTCGTTTCCGGCTTGAGCGGCGTCACCGTCGGCGTCTGTGTAACCATGTGTTGGCGCCATTATGGGACGTTTCCCATAATGACGTCAAACGTGACGTCACGAGGGTCACGAGTGACGTAACTGGTGACGTCACCGCGCGTTGCATTATGGAAAAATTACCCCGCTAACTTTAGCAGAAAAATTTCCCCGGTAAATTCAGTGGAAAAATTTCCCGCTACATTAGGCGGGAAATTTAGCTAAACTTTCCTGCTAAATGGCATGGGAGAAGGAGAGGAGGGTATGGATAAGTAGGAAAGGCATACCCTTCCTTCCGTATCTTCCCCTCCTCCTCCTCAAGAGCTGTGCTCTAATTCTGCGTTACAGGGGATTGTAAACGTCTTTCATTTCTTTTACTCATATTTTGCGAGGCGCATTGAACTAAAATAAAAACTTCTATGTTGGTAACAAAAAATTTTACATTACATTTTTTTTCTTATGCTATATAATAAATATTTTGTTTGACATATATATTTCTGAAAAGAGAATTCCTCTTTTCCGAAATGTTTTGCTCTTGGTGTCAACTTTCGCATTTCTGCAGCTTCAAGCTGCCTAACAATGTTCAGAATTCCTTTAGCTGCGTTTTGGTCTGCTGTTTACTCCTAGTAGCTAAACTTTCGGCAAAAAAATGTTTTTACTAAGACCTCCCATAACAGCCCTTTTTTTCCTGCGGTAAGAAGATAGTTACAAGAAGAACAGAAAGAACCGGAAATTGCCCGTTCAAGCTAAAAGTGTTGTGCAGTGTACATTACATTCTAAAACTTCACTCAATAAAACGTTGTAGATAGAACATCCCAGTCAAAAACATTGTTCTCCAAGGTCCACTTGACCTGGAGAGGAATCTGCTCTGTGCCTTGATAGAAAGAACCTCGAGAAAATGTGCGTCGCCACCTTTCCCCACGATGACCAGTGGCCTCTTGGCTTCCCTGAGAAGGTTCAGGGCTTGGGCCACGGTCGGCGGTTCAGCCAGGACTCTCGGGGGATCGGGACAGCAAGGGGGGTCCGTCAACGCCTCCGACGCCACCTCGCCCAAGATCATGTTGCCGGGAAGGTCCAAGTATGCGGCACCGGGACGGCCGTACAGGCTCGCTCGAACCGCCTACACCACCAGTGACGCACGAAAAAGCCCAATCTGATGCATCATAACTGAGCCACAGCCTTTCAAGTTTTAAGAAAAAAAAAAATGCCCATAAATGTCTGTCAGTGTTAAAACAGAAAAACACAGATGGTAAACATCCGTCGGTGTCAAAAATACAAAATTTGTTAAAACCGTAAAAAGCCGATTTCTGGAAATCTCTGCTCCAGCTAGGACTGTGTTTGTCTAAACCCTCCCTTTTCAAACTTGAACTTTCAATTTTTTCTGAGATTTTTTTTTTTTTTTCATTGATATTCATTGTTTTAGCGTCTGTCCGAAACAAATTATCGAAATAACCCAGTATTTAAAAAATAAATAACACCAAAAAACCTTCGCCGATTTCCTTAGAAACGCCGGAAATTCTGTGGACTAAACAAAATGTCACATGATTTCACTAAGGACGCACGGCTAAGCCGTAGAGATGCTACGGTTATGGATAGAATTCTGTGTTACTGAAGATTATTTTTTTCCAGAAATTTTGTGTTTTTTGGTGTATTGCTGCTGCATACCTTAACACAAAAAAAAGTAGTAATATCTTTGCTATATATACATATTACTGTGGCTACTTAAAGTTACTTTTGTGTTTGTTTGCTGTAAGTTCTTCATATGAAATATTCACATATGCGCGTTTTGTTTATCATTTCTTAGTTGTTGTTGGCCGGTCGCCGTTTGCAATTGTAAGGCTGCAGAGGCCTCATCAAGTGGAACATCTTGACTTGCTGCCCAGCAGCCTACATCAATATATGGTATGAAATAAAATATTGTTTAATCATCTAATCAATTGATATTTTTTTAGGGCTGCATGAATATTCAAATAGTGGTTTTGAATATTACACTTGATATTCACTCCGAGATGAACTGCAATATTCATACCCTTCAAAGTGTTGATCACAGCGGGATAGCTCCATTGAGCGCACTTCTTATTGAGCACCATGTTCTGTTCAAAGCATGCTCAACGGGGCCAACAAGCCGCAATCAATACTTTGAAAAGTATGAATATTGCAGTGGCATGCTAAGAGAAAAGCACACTTTCAAAACGAAACTGTGCATGTGTTAGGTATTAAAAAAAAACAATAAGAACTATGTTAATGTTGATATCTATGTTGCAGTAAATTAAGAATAAATTAAACTCTGGCTGCCTGAATTTAGTGAGCTTTCTTTTTTGTTGCTTGCTTAACTTTTTTTTATGATTTTTTTTTTTATGAGTCTTGCTTTTCCAGTTTTATTTTTTTAAATATTTTTGTGCTAATTATTTTTGTGTTTTGTCGTTTTTGATGTGTGGAAGTCCCGGCCAGGCAAGCATGTAAGCGCGGTGGTGTTTGCGGTCTCCGCCAACTACACTCTACTGTATTTAGTGGCTCTTGAGTGCTCTACTTGGTAGGCTCCCATTTGTCGCGACCTTTGGTATTAGCAGAGACTCCAGGAAATTTCAAGTCGAGCTTAACTTAACACAGTTTTGTATATCCAATTATTGATATATTGAACTATTTTACAATACCTTTGAATTCAATATAGTGTAAACGACTAAATTTTCGCGGGGACCTAATTTTCGCGAATCGCCTACAATTCGCGAAAAATACGTTCCGCAAACAATTCGGGCAATATGTGAATGCTACGGAAGCTACACTCCATTAGCGAAAATTAGAACCCGTGAATAATTTCAAATTTTCAGCTTTGGCCTGATTTGCAAAACTTTTAACCAGCGAAAATTAAGCCGTTTACAGTATCCGGGTTCGACTGTATACCGGAAACAAGAAACCCTATAGACATGGAATACTTGTGGGAAGAGTTCAATACGAAAAGTATCTCGAGGAGTTAAAACTGCCGAGTAAAAAGGGACAAAATTGGACAAGTACCACAAGCTTTCAGTTCAGGATGCTCTTTGCTTCAGGTTTTCGATTTCTTGAGATGTGTGGGGACGAGATGAAGGAACAGGAGGAATTTTAGGGAGCTCGATCGAGGCGGCGAAAGATCCCGGGAAAATCAAAATATCAGTCCCCTACTTTTTTGGGAAGTGAGAATATCAAAATATTTAGAGTTCCCCGCAAAGACCCAAGTCGCACAAATGGCTACCAGTGAGCACTCACCACAATTTTTCAGGATCTACCACATCGGTTCTAAAACTCTTTGATCCCGAGGAATCCCTATCTCTCTCGACTGAAGGCCAAGGAACCCTTCCCAGTTTCGGCATCGGTACAATGAAGCATTCATACATAGCGTGCAACGCAATCAAAGCTAGCGCACCGGTTTGCACTGACGACCGCCTACGTTCGCCCCATAAAATAGCGCTGCCCCTGCAAAAAGAAGAAAAAAAAGTCGTAAATTGTGCATTTTTGGAGCTAGTAACTGATAGTGGCGTTATGATTTCGACGGAACATTGATTTTTTTTCAATAAAAAGAAAAAGATATTGTAAACTACTCCAAAGTCCAAATTGTTTTCCGTTTTCGTCCGTGCGGCAGTCGCTTCGGGTTTTCGGGTTGTGTGGCTTCCCCTGCCTCGCCGGTTTTGAGAAGATGGCGTCTTACGCAGGAAGCTTTCCTCTCCTGCTCGGATATTTTCGGAGATTCGTTGTGTGAAGATCTTGAAAAAGTGCAAGCAGGTGATCGCCAACGTGTACGCGAGTTCAAGAACGCGTTTACCGGAGACGTCGGTCCGTGAAGTCCTGGAGACGGTCAGTAACGACACAGGAGTGTCTGGCAAGGTGGCGTCCCCGAAGCGAGGACCTCGCTACGTGAAAGTTTCGAGCACGCGGACCGTGTTGTGAACCGCCTTCTGTTATTTCTGGTGTTAAAATCGGCCTTGTGGCTTCAAAGTGAAACAAGCCTCAAGAAGGAACCGTGTCGGTGATGAATCGTGCCTACGGCTTCGTCTTGACCGGCTAAGCGGACGATGCCCGTGGTTGCATTCCGAAGCGTCTGGGTTCGTTTGCCTGCTGGACCGTAACCTCAGTCGGCTCCGTCTGCCTGAGGCACCTTAACCTTGGTCGGCTAAGTGGACGACGCACATGACCGTGTGTACGCGTCTATTGTGAATCACTCCCGGTTCATGAGGGCGCCGGCACCAGAGCAGCGAGATACTGCCGTCTGGATGACTTCCTTACACCGGCGGGTATTTGGACTCTGAAGGAAACTTCCATGAAGTCACATCACGCGAGGGAATGCCAAGCCGTCTGAACAATGGCAGTGCGATCCCCTCATCCCAGTATTTGTTGTATAAAGGACCGTCCACCGCACTCTCAGGGTACTCTCTAATTTTCACGCTACCATGTAAATAAACGGCTTTAAATAGAGACGCCCTGGATCTCGACCGTTCTTCCGTTTTGACGAGGCTGGCGCGGGGTTCAAACGGAACACCAGCCCCTAGTCTACCCCCTTACAAATAAAAAGCAAAAGAAAATAGGATTTGAAATATACACTTTCGCAATGCGCACAATGTTTGCATAAAAAATACATTGGAAAAAAAAAAAAAGACTTTGCGCCCGAAGTGGATTCGAACCACCGCCACCGAGACGTCGGTATCGCCAGAGCAGCGCCTTGCACCGCTCGTCCACGAAACGCGCGGAGTAACACATTTTTTTGTTGTTGTTGTTGTTTTTTCATGCGCACTACTTCAGTACCTTTCCCAGCGTTGCACGCTATGTTTGAAACGGAGTATAAGCATGCAATAATTCACATAATATACTCCATTCACCCTTAAACTAAGACTAAAAGCTCTGCCTTCAGCCCGAGCTCACTGGCTTCCGCAGTGCTTTGGTTGCGCGTGCTTGTGCGTTCACATTTGTGTTAGCAAGGGCAGGAAGCTCGCGCTGAAGGCGGAGCTTCTGGTCTCAGCTGGAAGGGGAACGAGGTAGGGGGAGTGATTGGGTCATAGTTGTGCATCAGTGGATGGCTCAGATCTTCTAAAATAATGCTTAAACACAACAAAAAATGCTTTACACGGGGGCGGAAATGGTCTAGGAAATTTCGGGAACCCTCGGGGTACTTTGGGGAATCTCTGGGTTCCTAGGAAACCAGTTTTAGAACTCGCTATCTATTGGAAAAGATGAACTATAAGAGTATTATACAGAAGGAGAAAACGTTTCACCTTCTCAATGTGCATTGGGATGAGCTGGATTGAGCTGGGACGGCAGGCATACTTGGTGTAGCTTCTGCAGGCCTCCACCTGTCGCAGCACGAAAGCATCCCGGTTTTAACGGTCACCGAACAAAATATCTACAGTATAGTCACAGGGATAACTACGACACCTCATCGGACCCTAGTGTATCCCATGTATCTTGCAGTTAACCTGCGTCGACTTTATGACAACCTTGCAATGATGCACTCCGCTTCTTCTGCCGCAGTCGGCACCTTACGTGGAAAAGCAATCGCCAACGTCTGGGCTCACCTGCAGACATTCCTGGAAGGCCCCCAAGCCCTCGACGTCCTGGTCGCACGCACCTCCCACCAGTAACATAGGCCTGCAAAAAGCATTGTGTCTCACACAAGTCACTTCGCTGCGAAGTCATTGACTCGTCGTGACCTAGGCGACCAATTGCGGTCAGACAGTGGAGCTTATCACTTTCAAGCAACGTTACTAGAACCACTCAGTTGGGACAACTGCTTCGAAAAAGTGGCTCCAACCCGTACTCGAAAACCAAACTAATGGTGATCGCAACGCCGCCGTTTCTGTCGCAGCAGCCACTCTGGGCATTGCACGGCTGCACGTACTAATTCAGATTGGTTTAGGTTGGGTCGTGCGAGGGCATGTGGCGCCATCTCGGAGTGCTATTTCGCAGTAGCTATATAAATACACTTTTACGGTTTGAATCGTCACTAAAGGGCCGCGCTGTTATTGTATTCAGTTTGGTCTCGGTGGACGCGAGCAGTCCGGGTTTCAAGGGTGAGTTTCCCAACCGGGTGTTCTACCGGGTGAAACAAGGAGACGGTAGGCTTTTTAAATCGACCGGAAAATTCGGTTTCTTAACCTATCGTGCTACGACTTTGTGCAGCGTTGCCCACAGATGGTGCATTTTTTTTTTGTAAAATTTGCAAAGAGCGAACTTACCTGAGGAAAAAGTAAAGAAACTTGCTGTTACCGCGCCTGTCTTTTTTGTTTCTGCGACTGTCGCCGCCTACGGAATGCGCTCCGCTTTTGAGTCGAAAAGATTGTCTGCTAAAAAGGCCTGCTCTCGGCGCCGTATGCTCGTTCGTTGCGGCGTTCGTTGCGCCATCTCTTGTGTCCAGTGCGAAGCGGCGCCGTTTTGTTTGCAGACCGGAGGCGTCGCTGCGTTGCCATAGGAGCTAAGCCTTTTTCTTTCCTTACTTTTTCCTCAGGTAAGTTCGCTCTTTGCAAATTTTACAAAAAAAATGCACCATCTGTGGGCAACGCTGCACAAAGTCGTAGCGCGATAGGTTAAGAAACCGAATTTTCCGGTCGATTTAAAGAGCCTACCGTCTCCTTGTTTCACCCGGTAGTAATGCTGGTTTCAAGCAAACAGAGAAGTGCCGTTAAAGTGCCATTTCTCAGAGGTGCACAGAGAACTCATTTGGAGGAGGCTATACCAGGTGTTTCACAGAACAATAAACTGGTTAATTGGGCTGGTTTGTTCATAGTTTAAAAAGTATTAAAGCGCCGAAAACAACAAGGACCAAGATGAAGTCAGACAACAAGGCATGTGCAAACAGTTGATTTTGAATTCAAAGCAAATTCACAGCGAATAGTAGTTCTGGCTGAATATTTTCAAATTGAATACTTTCTCCAAGCCTTTCACTACTGCACCATACCTAAGTGGAAACCCAGTTGAACATGTAAAGGTTGTAAACATGTAAAGATCAAAGCCTACATTGGGATGGCAAGCGAACAACATATTTGACATACTATTAAACCCATAGAAATGCCCAGCTATACCTAATTAAAAGGATTTATACAACCTCTCGCTATATACAAATATCCTTTCTTGAATCTTGAAATAAAAAGGACAATTATGAGTAATGAACGGAGGTTGTCAGGATATCTCTGCCTAACATGTACTCTTGGATAATAACCAGTTAAATTTTGAAAATGTTAGTGTTGTGTACATATTAACACTCACAAAATGTATTTATTTTTAAATCCACTAGGCATGTGTGTGCACCACCCCACTTTAAAACTGTGCTTTCCCCCCCTAAGCACGCGAGTGCAATGTTTGTATTTTAGAAGTCTTGGTCACGAAGGGTTAGCCCCGTTGAGCGCACTTCTTGGCGAGCACCGGTGCGCCGTGAAGAAGCCACGCCCCGCGGAAGCGACCTCTGCAAGTGTTGCTTCTCTGCACTGCACCGGTGCTCGGTGAGAAGCATAGTCAGCGGGGCAATCCCATCGCAATCAACACTTCAAAAAATAGGAGTATCGCAGTTCACCTCGAAGCAAATATAAAATAGCATATTATTCTAAACGACTATTAAAAAAATCTGAATATTTGCCCATGTTGCATAAAATTAAAACTCTAACCAGATACAAAAAAAACCAAAAAAACAAGCAGAGAAGTTTATGAGGCATACAAAATTTGACACAAAAAAGTAGTTTGCACACCTCAGGCATCTAATGACCTATCAAAAATGATTTTGATATCAAACGAGCTTGGTACCCCCATGATGATAATTAGAAATCCGAGGGAGCATATGATATATGTGTTCTTTACAAATAAACAACAGTTGCGAGTGTACTTTGTGTTGTCTCATGTTTCAGAAAACTTTGGCCAAATTGCTGCTAAAAAAAAGACGCATCAAAGCAAGATATAAGGCATGTGTCAGATTTTACAGCATTCTGAGGTACACCTAAGCACTTCTTACGAGTTGCAAGTGCAAAAGCATGCGTGTCATTCTTCCGCTCCCTTATTTCGCCAATGGGACAGAAGCCGAAATCCATCGGCTTTACACCGCTCCTTTGGGATCGGGGAAACTAGATGCCGTTTAACTAGGCTTTTCGCGTGGTTTCAAAGCTGGGAGCCGGCTTCACTTGGAGAAAGGAGTTAAGGTGCCGTTTGGCACGGCTTCAAAGCTCATGACGTCGGCTCGCTCCATGAAACAGTTAAGGCTTTTGCATTAAAAAAAAAAAGCCCAATTTAAGCACATCTCTAGGTTTCGGATTACTATCGGAGCACATCTTTGCGTCAGCGGTACTGCTCTCCATGGCCAAAATGCAAATCTAATGTGCGCCGCCACACAATTTTCGCAAAACGAAGGTGAACCCAAGAACCAAAGTTTACTCTTGCAATATGTCATTCAACAGCACAGCATTTCATTTTTCCAGCTCGCACTTCACTCCCTTTTCTCCTACAAGAGTCAAGGTGGTAGTGGTGCACTTTGGCTACAAGGAGCAGGACCGCTGGCACAGAGACGAAACATGTATGAATTTACCGTATTTACTCGAGGTAATAGCCGCACTATTTATGAACAAGGCCCTTGCTTCTACTTTCCCACAAAGCACATATACAGCCAATCATCGCATTGCGCATAAATAGCATAGCAAATAACCAGATCGAGGAAACGATCCTCCATACAAATGCAATATTCACGGATGGTATCTTCGCGGGAAGACGTTATCTCTGTCCTGTAAACCGCTGGAGTCATGCTGTCGATCGCGGTGATTGGCTATCCGCGTGCTCCATGGAAAGGCGAGCCCTCAGGTTTTCTTCATAAACAGTGCGGGTATTACTCGAGTAAATACGGTAGTGTTTTTTCGGACTGCCGTGAAAGACTGCGCGCGACTTGTGTTTTTGCAAAGTGGGCCGACTTAGTCATTTTCGATAATGCTCAGAAGGAATCTAACTGAAGCTGTACTTTTAAATTTACCAATCAGAAAGTTGATTGGTAAGATCTGTGCAATGTATACTTCTTGCAGGAATTATTCAGCAGGTGTTCTGTGAACACCCTGTACAAGTACATGGTGGTCTTTAGGTACATCTATACTAAGCTCTCAGACCTATCCACTCTGGGGAAATAGAACACCACCACCCTCCTTCTCTGAGCAATTATTCCACTGACAGCAAGAGCATTTAGAAATGAACACTCGACAGGGTTCAATGCATTAAAGAGAAAGGTGAGAGCACTTGCCTCCTAATGATGTGAATGCACGTCTTGGCTATGAGGCGTAGAACCTATTCAGACCATGCCTTCAAAAGGCGTAGAAACATCAACTTGCGACTTGCCCCTACACTTTCAGACGTATGAAGTAGCTAATAAACCCCATTTTGGTCTCGCTATCAGATATGCTTCATGAAATAATGTAGCAATTTTACCAATGCGACGCACGTTTTAGTTGTACAAGCGGCTTCCACACCGAAGTTCTGTGGTGACTGTAGCACTGTTGCACAGTTCAATGGAAGCAAGAGCTTCAAGATCCATGAGTGCCTGAAGTTTATATATTTACAAAGACTTTAAACAGAACTTCTGTTAGGGCAGACTTCTGAAGTGGGCCGTACGCAGACAACTTGTAATGTCGGTTAAGGGGGAACACTGGTTAAGGGGGAACACATTTCAGGAGAGGTTATAGTATTTCTATCTGCTCTAGATGCTGGGATATTCCTCCTGCAAATTTTCAACAATTACAAAAATTGTGTTTTGTGAAAACAATATTTTAGTCAACTTCAATGCACAATAGGCCCGCATAGACATTATAAATTGATTTATAGCTCAAATATTCATCTACGAAATTAGAAGTCTGGTAGGTTCAGAAGAACAACAGCCATTGCCATTTTCAGAAGACTGCAGTTTTAGGCAGTTTTTGGCTTCAAAGACCCATGTCCCCCCTTAAAGGGGTACTCCGCAATTTTTTAGCTACCTCAACTAACTATATTTTCTGACTCCCCGGCCTTTACCCTTTCTGGTATGCTATTTAGTATTGTGAAATTCATAATAGTTATTGCGAAATTGGCAAATGAAAATGGTGCAAAAACAAACATTCAAATATACCCGCCCTTTTCAGGGCCTTGACGTCAGTGGAAGGTTAAGCTTGCCAGTCGGGCGAGCAGTCTAAAAAATAAAATATGCCAATCATTTGTTCCCTGCTGGAGCGCGGGGACTGGAGCGAGCTTCCAAAGCATTCATTTGATACCATGAAACTGCTTCGAATCAGTTGGGAACAAATTCTACAGTCCAAAGAGTGAACCCCAGCACTTCCACTGACGTCACTTTTTGATTGTTGCCAGTAGAGACTTTCAGTTTGAAAAACACGGTGAGGACCGAAATTGTAAATTCAATAACTTTGTGAAAAAAAATTATTTTGACCTAATATTTGGGATACTATCTTGGCGATGTTGTTTGGAGAGTTTAGCAAAATTTCGAGCAAATCGGGGACCATGAAGAAATCGGCGGAGTACCCCTTTAAGGCACAAGACGCAGAGCCAAACGCAGAGTGCAATGTCTTCATCTGAGAAGCATTGCATATGGCAAAACCACTTACAAGAGAACACACTGGCACAATCTATGAGGTAGCCCTGGAGCACCTGTGAACTCCCCTACTCTAAAAGGAATATTGGGAGAAGAGCCCATGTGAAATGATGGATGTACGGCTAAATTCTCTTAAAGGCCATCGCAAAAGGGAAGGTGGGTGTGACTTGCCATCCGTTGACCTGAGCATTGGCAAGGCCTGCTAAGGCATGGATGACGCCTGGACCAGACACCACGACACAGACGCCGGGCCTGAGCAAGACAGAAGACAACCGCTGAATGCTGTCGGGAGATTTTAAAATGCAAAACACACTATACTCCATTTCACACTACGTTCGACAACAGCCCTGTTGTGCCACTGAGAGGATAGCGCAGGCGGTAGCATATTACTTCTGTGACGTCATCAGGCAGAAATCGAAGAGCCCCTTTTATGGATGCGGTAAAAGCAGCGGTTAAAGACGCATTTCAGGCATCACACTTATATCCTTGCAGCCTAATTTTACGACAACTGGCTGTGACGAAAACTTTCGTGAATACTAGATACGAGCTAGAATGGTATATTTTACTTCTTGCAACCTTTTCACTTTTAACAACCATTCCTTATGTGCAGCCGGTGCGACATCCTTTCCCTAGAACAATGGTTCTCAAGTATGGATGCGACAAGGACCCGTTGAGGTCTGGCCAGAGTGATAGGGGACCCCATGCCTCCGAGGGAAAAGGATGGTGGGGCAGGGGTATAAAATAAGACAACTGCAGTATAAAGGAGCATCATTTACTATTATAGACAGAAGAAGTGAAAATCATCAAGTAAAAGGATGGATGGATAGATGGTAATGGCTGTACCCTTTATAACCGGCAGTAGCTAGCGCCACCTAGTCAGGGTTACGAAAATACTTCTCTTTTTTTCAAGAAAAGAGGAATAGGGGAGGGGGGCGGGGATTGAGCATTGAGGCAAGGGCTTCGCGCACCCCTAAAATAACTATGCGGACCCCAACGGCTCCGCGGACCCTGACTTGAAGACCACTGCTCTAGAAGAACGCCTGTTGACGAAGTGTGAAAAACTGGGGCCGCAATATGCCAACTGAAATAAGGTGTTAGAAGCGGAAGAAGTAGAGAACTGCTGGCTACTGAAGAATAGTGTTTCCAGGTCTCGCAAATATACAAATGAACAGTGTCCACTTGCAATGAAATACCCTGGCCAATATCTTATTACAAGTTAATTTTTTAGAGCACAGCTCCTAGGCGGCCGTTTCCGGCTTGAGCGGCGTCGGTGTCGCCGTCAGCGTAACTGCGCGGTGCATTATGGGTAAATTTCCCCGTTAAATCTAGCGAAAAATTTCCCCGCTAAATTTGGCGGGAAAATTTTCCCGCTAAATCTAGCGGAAAATTTTCCCCGCTAAATTTAGCGGAAAAATTCCCCCGTTAAGTCTAGCGGAAAAATTTCCCCGCTAAATCTAGCGGGAAAAATTTCCCCACTAAATCTAGCGGAAAAAATTTCCCCGCTAAATCTAGCGGAAAAATTTCTCTGGGGGTCACGTGAACCCCCCAGGTCACGTGAACCCCCCAGGTCACGTGACCCCCAAGGTCACGTGTCCCCCACATGACCTTGGGGAGGGGGCCATGTGACCTCACCAAGGTCACTTGACCCCCCCCCCCCCCCCCCGAGAACACGTGAACCTCGGTACCCTTCCCTCCTCCTCCTCAAGAGCTGCGCTCTAATTCGGCGTTACAGGGAGTTGTAAACGGCTTTCATTTTTTTAAACTACTTTTAAAATTAGGATAATGTGAAATTACACAGCATGTCTATGATGTGCTAGCATCATTTTCTGGCAAAGCTTCAACTTTCTGCAATGACCACCCAATATTTACAGAGCAAAACTCTGTAAACTTTTACTACACAGAACCTGCAACAGCAACACTAGTTGGGCACCTTACTACAACAGCAACAGCGAGAGAGAGAGAGAAAGCAGTTTTTGTTTTGTAATTCTAACAGCTGTTGAAGAGTAGTTCTATGAACCTAACAAGCTCAGCTGCCAAAAATTGAACTTTAGAGCCCTTACCTGCGAGTAAGGTATCCCATGGCTCCCGCAGCATAGCTAGCCTGTCCCCAGTGCAGTCAGGGAGTAAAAAGCCAAAATTAGAAGCTGCTGAGGATCAAACTGAGCACAAGGCTCAGAAACGGGAAAGGCAATGGAAACGCACAAAAAAAGTTGTGTTTTTGCATTCCCACTTCATACCATCGAACCCGACCAGAAGGCAAAAGAACTGGCAGAAAACGTCCCACCAAGCTTCGAAGATGGGATATACTTTAAACTTTAACCAAACATTCTCTGGCCCTTGCTTCTCAGTTTTATGCTTTAGGACGTTGCCGACTAAGATGTTTATTGGAGCTTCTCCATTCTCGGCTTCACGTTGCCACGAGACAGAAATGATTCCATAGCTGCATAGAAACTGCCATGATGTAATACATCTTCAACCTGCATTTTATGTTGCCTATGCACAGAGTTGAAGCACACTATCTCAAAGCATAGCAAGATTTGATTAAACAATCTCTACTACTAGCTCTTTTAGGTCTCTGAAAATCCAATAATTTTAGCCATTATTATTATTATTATTTTTTTTATGAATGCTCATTGGCATTTTAATAGTGCTGTGGAAATAGCGTGGTTTGCTGAAATGCCCAGAAGATAGTCACTGGACTAGGAGAAAAAGGAGCCACGCACCGCTTGTTCGTTGCGCATGCCGATGAACTTGATGCCGGCCTGCTGCGCTGCCAGGGCCACCTCAAACACGGGAACACCCACCACGCCAAACATGTATTCCACACCCTGGAAGCAAAATCCCGCATTTTATCGCATTTTGCAAACTCTACATTGATTCCCTATTGCACCTTTCGCATGTAGACACAAGTGAAATAAAACATGAGCAGTCCCGTATGAATCCAGAGTAAAGTCACAGTGAGAGCTGCAACATGGACATTGCATCATAATGAATCCTTATGTATCTTGCCCCTTACAGACAGAAACCATCGCCAATGACTGCTCGGAGAGTGACACACTCATCAAGTCCATCTGTCACACGATACCGTAGCGCCACGTGACATTATGAAGGCAAGGCAGAGCGTGGCTTTCGACTGCCCGGCTTCCAGCACACGTTCCACGCCTTCTGCCGTGCTTTTCCCCTGAACGTGCTTGAGGTGCACGATACACCGAAGCACTGTTGAAGATGGCAAGCTTGCACTGGAGTCGGGACAACCGAGACTTCTTCCTGCTGTCCTCACCTCGTCAGTGACTTCACCCTGAAATGCTATATGCTTCACTGCACTTCAATGCATATTCAACCAATGCTCTTTGCTGTTAGAATCTCCAACTTATAAAGCTTTCTAGATCGGTTCAGAGACCCCAAGAATGCAAGATGTTTACGTAGTGTACAAGAGCTGCATACCCATGTTTTATTCTGACACCAGATTCGATCCATACCACAGGGAGCTCAAAAAGAGGAGTTAGAAAGCTCCAACAGTCAGCAAGAATCCAGCAACTCTAACTTTCAGTCAATGATTCGACTAACACTTACTGTCTAATGTAGATGAGATCCCCGAAGACAAGTCCCATAGGAAATGGTTGGCTGCTGTTTTGAGGCTCCCCAGGTTTGTTTTCAAATCCCTCGTACCAACTTCTGCTTCTTATTTGGCTACCACAGATGCAGTGAAACAGCTTTAAATTGCCAGGGATGGCAGAAATAATGATTGGTGACCCTCAGCAGACTGCAATAACAGACCCCTTTAATATATAGTTATTATATCTAGTGGCGGTACTCCTGCAATTTTTTTAGCTACCCTTACTAACTATATTTTTTCAATCCCCCAGCATTCACCTGTTTCGGTATGCTATTTAGTATTGCGAAATTTATAAAAGTTGTTGTGAAACCGGCAAATGAAAATGCTGCAAAAATCAACATTCAAATATATACTTGCACTTTTCAGTGTCAGTAGAAGGCAGGCTTGCCGGTAGAGCAAGCTTTCTAAAAAATAGGCTATGTCAAGCATTTTTTCAGTGCTGGTGCACGGGTACTGGAGCAAGTTTCCAAAGCATTCATTTGACACCATAAAACAGCTTGGAATCAGTGGGGAACAAATTCTGCACTCCAAAGAGTGAACCCCTGCCTTACGCTGGCATCATTTTTTTGCTGTTTCCAGTAGAGACTTTCAGTCTGAAAACACTGTCAGGACCACAATTGTAAATTCAATAACATTGTAAAAAAAAAAAGGAATTCCCAGAAATATTTTAAATAGAAATAGCATCCCAAAAATATTTGGGATATTATTCAAGCGATGTACGTTGGTGTTAGAAAACTTTCAGGCCAATTGGAGACGATGAAGAAATCGCCGGAGTATCCCATTGTTACGATAATAACAGAAGGAATGAAAATACTGCATTATTAGAATTGGACAATGCCAGCTTGGTAGGTTTACGGCAGATGGAAGTTTATTCTTCGCTTGCCATCATATTTTCACATGGTTCATCCTAGCTTCTCCGATACAAATAGGCTACTGCACAAAAAGAACCTGCAATAGGCGCACCAACTCGAATGCAAGCTCAACGATTGACTGGACTGGAGTTGAGTTCACGGCAAAAGTTGATGTCCAATTTGTGCCTCCAATTGTAATGACATCTTAATTAAACCGCTAAGCCTTCTACCAGACTGAAGTGCACATCTTTCAACTTCTTTCTTCATCAGCGACCACAAGGGCACTGTTAGTGATAGCACAGCCAATCTACCCACAAAGCATGGCAGTGATTCAACAGATCAGAATACATTGTTTAAAGGGTCTGCTGGCAGAACCATCCATCGACCACTAATCTGTATGGACAGACAGCAGACGTACCGGATGAATGTATGCCGATGGCTGTACCCTTTACAACGGGCAGTAGCTTACGCCACTCAGCCGAGAAACCAAAAGTATGATTCCTCCCCTTGCACAGGAGGAGGAGCCCACACCTTCCATGCAAATGTAATGAAGCTTTAAAACATGTTTTCAGGCACCTGCAATCTTGTCACATTAGCCAATCCTTGACAATTATTCAATGGCACTGTCAACATGAAATCTTGAATGGTGAATGCTCTATGTACGCAGATACCACATCCGGAATTCTGTGGGGTTCTAGTCCTGAAGCACTATTACGTTTGGTTTATAATATGGACACTTTTTTTCTTCTTCTCATGTAGCTTTCCGCTGACAATGGTACTGAGAAGAGAAAGGTACCCTTAATATGATCTTACGTTTAAGGAGTGATACCATGCACACATTTTGTACCTCGCAGGGTAAGCTTTCCAAATGGTGCATAAAAAAGTAAACCTAAGAAGAAAAAAATTCACAAAATACATTTATTTTCCGCAGGTGTGGGCTATAAACCTGTGCCTGCTTGCTTGCCTTGCCAGCAATGCACACAAGAGTTGATGCAACAGATGAATCCAGTGCAATTTGGATACAAGCTGTAAATTTCAATTGAAACAAATTCCTCAGAGTTCTAAGACAAAGCTGTTAGTTTGTCTGGGGAGGGACAGTTGCAATATGTGCGAAAACAAGCCCAGCAATAAAATATCAGCCCTTTTTCTTAATAAAGATTAGTGGTCATCAATGGTAGCCATTTCAACTTTTTGCAGTAGTCTACAGCAAGATTACCAAGGTTACTTGAGGTAGGTTTAAGCCATCGTTTTCGGAATACCTAGTTTGAAGAGTTTTTCGGTATGAAATTGATTGGGCATGGCATGAGCAAGCACAAACATTCCTTCAGGCAATGAAGCTAACTCCTTTTGGGTCCATTGAGCTAGGGTGACCTAGATTGAGCTCCCAAAACATCACTCTTGTGGTCACTAAGTTAATCTTTTGCCCCCAAGTTCGCACAAAGAAGCTTCTCCCATCTCCTCCCAGCTCCCTTTGTTTCCTGGAGTTTCCTACCCAGATATCCTCAAACCAAGTCTTTGACAGGGGGCACCACTTCTTCGAAAAGTGGTGTATTGCCACATGATAGCACAGGTAAAGCTACTGATTACAGCAGAGTTAAAAAACACAAAATTAGGAACCCCTCAGAGTAGAGTGAGATGAAAGTTTTGGAACAGGGGCTGCAAAGACCGGAGGGCTCAATAGCTCTCCACAGATGCATTCGTACAGTGGAGGTCATGCACTTTTAATCAAGGCTCCTTGTCCAAAGCTGCTCAATGGGTAGCCTTTTAGTGTATAGCTTTATCTACTTCACAGGTCTGGAGAAGTGCAAATAGGCAACATTTGTGGACAAACAAGGCCCCTCATGGGATCAAGGATTAAAGCAAACACAACTACCTATATGAAACATCCTATCACATTTGTAGCTATATCCGGCGTCAATATTTTTTGTACAAGATTGTCAAGGCAACTTGTGCGAGCGTGTCGCTTTGTTTGGTATCTCCTTCGCATGGGAGTGCGTGCGAAGAAGGCGAAAGGTGAAGTCAAATGCTCGCGCAGCAGCTGCTGCACATGGGGCTAATGCAGCACAGTGGAAGCTACACTAGTTTCAACATTATAGCACAAGAAAGTTCATGCCAAGTGAATGTGAATCGATTGTTCAAGATGCAGAACTCAACAAAAAAAAAGAGCCGCTTTTTTTTTTTTCAGAATTAAAAGTGCAAATGCAAGGAGAGGTTCTCCAATATGCACTGGAGAGCCTCTTTAATTGGAAGCCCCGGTATAGCAAAATTCAACTTTCTCTAATTCCTAAAATTCTCCTTATCTGACATCTTTATAGCTTCTTTAGAGCTAAAGGTGCAAATGCAAAATATGCACTGCAAACGAATTCCCTTAAAAACTTCCTAGCAGCTGCATGGCCTCATTGCAACTTTTAGCATAACAGATTAAAAAAAACGCTAGGGCAAGTCCTCCTTTATATGAACGAGTTTTTCTGCAGCCTTAAATCAGGCGGCAGTTGGGTAGTACAAAAAAATTATGTCGTTCTATCAAGCAAGGTTTCCAGCCGCTACATTCGACCTGTGTTGTTGTATGAACACCAGTTATTTTTGTCCCAACAAAAGCCCCGTTCTATAGAGCTGCGCAGACAATTATACTTTGCCTCAACTACTTTGTGCTACATTGTCAAAGCTAGCATAGCTTCCACTGTGCAGCAGGCCCACACTGCATCGAGAGCAAGCGGCTTTTTCCTTTGCACCTCATTTGCATGCGCTCGTGCAACTACCCTTTGACAGATTTGGAGCACCGGGGAAGCTAGGCTAGCTTTCACAACGTAGCCCAAAAAAGTTGGCACCGAGTATAGAGGACTTGTTGCAGCCATGAAGTCACTAAACAGTCAAAGTAGGAAAACAATGAATTAATGCTCCATTTGCATCGAGGACCATCAGGAGGCACCTGAAAACATTTAATGTAGCCTACCACCAGGTATCGTGCAACTGTAACTAGATATAACTTGAATAGTTATAACTAGCCGGAAGTTGTTGAATCCCCAAAGAACGAATCTGAGGGATTTACGTGGCAAAACAATGTAGGGCATTTGGCATGCCCCAGCAGAAAACTGAGGACACATTTCAGCCACCTGGAGATATTTTGATGCACAACTGAAATCTTGGTTGCCTTCTCCGCAATAAGCCTCCGTCAAATTGTGGACCCCTCGCGGATTCTAACCCACCGCCTGGGAATCCAAAGGCCGGACCTTTGCCTCAGAGCAGCCCAAGGCAGCAGTAGTAGAATCCCCGAAACTCTACAAAAGATAAATCTTTCCATGGAAGAACTGTTAAGTGTTCTCACGAATTGACATTAGGAAGTGATGACTTCTTTTATAGC